TGCCATCGCTACTAGGGTGGATGCCATCGCTATTGAGGTGGATGCCATCGCTACTAGGGGCAGTGATGTAATTCTAAGACTTTTCGTTCATTAAACATGTTTCAGTGAAGATTCAGGACAGAGACGCTGAATCTTCTCTGATACTTGTGACCTCTTCAGTTCCTCCCTCAGGTCAGGACAGTGGATGCTGGCCGTTCAATTGCTGGCCGACATGAAGGGCGGGAATGTCCAGCCGAACGCCAGCTGGCTGCTTTCTTTGACGCCATGTTTCATCATCGTTGTATTTGAATTGGACCACGGATGGTCAAATCAAGTACCTCCTTTACCCAACATACACTTTTGGCACAATATCTTGGTCTCTTGTCAGTTGTCGCAGAGAAAGATAGAAGTTCCATCTCCCCAGCAACCATAGTAGTGGGTATGGTAGATTAAGGAGGGCCATTACTAGCACTTTCTAGCTATTCAATTGAGCGAGTACAAAACATCCACTCGCAAATTAGTACAAAAAACATCCACTCGCAAATTAAGTGTTCGCATGTCCGTTCTGCAGAAAGATGCTCCATCCACCGTATATTGATACCAGGCATGAGAAATGATAGCAAAAACCGTGACACGGCGAGCCTAAGACTCCTTCCCGTCCACTTGTACTCAATGGCCCACCCATGTACTAGCTGTGCTAGTCTGGAAAAACCCACAGAGTCATGCATGCCAGTTTCACACAGTAAAAATGCATGCATAGCACCCGAATGTGCACTGCAACGAAGAACATTTCGGGATTGCACTCACTAAGGTCTTCACCTTTGGCTCTGCGGTGAGCAGCTGCGGGGTGGCCGCCTGCTGGGTGGAGGCTTTGGCACTTCTCGCTATGGCGGAGGCGGCAGATGCTGTGAATGCCTTTGCCTTCAGCGGTGCCATTGCTGTAGCTTGGGCGCAAGAAGGAGCAGGGGGGTTCACTTACAGACGCTTGCACCCTCCAAATAGCGTGCACATTCATTCATTGTGCCATTCCACGTTCATGCTCCCTGCCGACGACAGCACAAGATGACTTGTTATTTGTACTTTGGTGACGAAGGCATGCAAGAACAGTGGGGAGTGGGAAGCTTGTCTTGGCCTCCTCCAAACCATGGCGGACATGAAGGCTGGTTGCATTCGGAGACTGTGAGAAGGTGTTGTGTTGCCTAGCCGATCTTGCCTCTAGGTTGGCTGCTTGCAAACCTTGCCTTTCCGCTTGCACCACCTGTTTCATATTTCATCCAATTCTGCCAAAGTTGCTCGCAGGTGCAAAGAGATGCCGTTTGCATCAGCAGTGCCATCAGCGCTTGCGAGCGACTTGGTTTGCTCTCAAACATACGTAGAGACTATGTGGCCCATCTCTGGGGAATTTGGACGGGAAGGCATTTGTCACGGCACTAGGGGGCAGCGCCAGAGTCATGTCAACACCCCTTGGTTCACAATCGGAGGCGTGGCGTCCACTTCCAAGAAGCATAGATTCGGCAAACACACTATGATTGCATGTGAGAACCCCACAAAAATGCAAAAAGGCAGATGTTCAAATGATTTTCAGCAAGGAAGCGTGCAAGGTGGCAAGCAGCCATACACTTGCTGCAGTCAATGCAGGACTTTGACAGTTTGACATCAAGTTGATATCACAGTCACAAGGAAAACGAGTACTGATGAGTCCTGCTTTTTCCTTATGACACACGCAAGGAGGGTTGGACGAGGCCAAATCTGGTGGCTGAAAATGCTGCCCTGAGCGCATGTGAGAAAGCCAGGCGCTGGCAGCATGCTTTTGCACTGTTCAGGGAGCTGCCACGGAAGCGCCTCAAAGCCGACAAGATCAGCTGCTTTGATTGCTTTGGAACCTTACTAGTTGCCAGGGTGCTTGTACAACACTCCTGGTGTTGCAAGGCTCATTGCATCGCCGACCTTATTAGTACACAATAAGTTTGCAAGCAACAGGAACGGATGTTGGGATCACTACGATCGCTTCTGCTGCTTCCATTGCTTATTGCTCATGTTTTTCCTTCGCTCGAACTGCATCCTAAACCCTTTGAGCCAGTTTGGGGAATGAACATCTGCCGCTGATCGGAGTATTGACCGGTCTCTGATGACAAGGCTACAACGCGATGATCAGCGCCTGTGCCAACTCTGGACACTGGGAGCTAGCTTTAATGCTGTTGGAGGAGTTGTTGAGGATGAAACAGCCAGACGTCATGACCTCGGACTCCTTGGCATGCCGGTAGTACAAGATTATCACTTGAAATGAAGTCCGTTGGCTGTATCTTTTTGGGGCAAGTGCCTGAGTTGGTTCTTTCACCTGCATGCGACCAAGAGAGGAATCCTGACTAACCAGGCTGTGAGCTACAGCGGGGTGATTTTGGCCTGTGAGCGAGGCCCACACCGTCACTAAAAGGGCAGGAAAAGCGTGATGAACAGGAAGCAAGCTTGGTCACATAAAAGGTTTCAACTACAGCCAAAGATGTGCTGTTTGAGCAGATGTGAGATCCGAAGATTCCATGCTAATGGCTGCAGGGAGCAGATGGCATTTGGCAATGGAGCTCCTCCACCTTATGAGAGCTGCAGAAATTCTGATGGATGTCATCAGCTGCGGCAGTGTCATGAGTGCCCTTGAGCAAGGTGGGAAGGAGGCTGTGCAAGAAGTGTTAGAGCCTGGCTGGGAGGACTTTTGCCCAGAGTAATTGCATCTAATGACGTAGACGTAGAGCTGCCGAGTCTTCGCACAGTAATTACTCATTCATGTGGCACAGCTTGATGCTTTGGAGGAGGTGAATGGCGCTCTACCATTGCGTTGCTAGCGCAGATGCCAAGTCGGATCCTAACACCGAACCCCGTCACCATCAGCATCTCAACAAAAAGCTATACACGAAGATAAGCGCAAAAGAGAAAACTTAATAAGCACATGCACATGCCCCCCTGTTTGCACAGGTCAGCGGGACTGTGATGCAATTCCTCTATGTAGGATTATGTAGGCACTTTTTGCCACCGCGCACTGAGGTAGTGCAATCAGTGCATGTGATGGAGGAAGTCAGTGGCGTGCAGCCTTGCGACTTTTTCATGCTACACCTGGGCAAGCAGATGCCTTCTGCTGCAATGCGGCCATGATGGCTTGCGAGAAGGCATGGGAATGGTTCTTTTATGGGAACCTGGGATGAACACCAGTTTTTGCAAGGTCAGCCAGTGGGAGTCAGCTTTGCTGATGTTCCACTTGATGCCATGCTACACAGTGCAGCCAGATGCTCCGCGGCAAGTGCAAGGGCAAAAGCCAAGCAATTGAATGTGCATGTTGTGTCTCCCTGTTGCATGCAAGACTTGCATGTTCCTGCTGACGTTGTCAGCTGCCAGCGGCTTTCACCTCGCTCTTTAGGACTTCATTAGCTACACCTCTGCCATGGTTTGCGCTGATGCGGGTTGCAAATGGACTCACTTTGCGGCGCACTGCGACCATGAGTCTTTCCTGTTGATGAACTTTTTCCATGCTCAGAGCCGAAAAGGCCAAGGGCAGCAAGGCTCGTCAAAAAAGCTCCGGCTGGACAGCGATCTCACGGCTCCTCCAACCGCGGGGCTTAACCTCAGAACCACAATGTGCCATTCAACTGCATCATGGTCGAATTGTTGGGACGAGCTTGGAATGAAGTAATCTTTGGAATCTTGAGAAATGCAATCCATCCGTGGACTTCAAGGTGCAAGCGCATGGCTTGCACGCCGTGCAGACTGACCACGTGGAGTTCCACCAGAAGGAGTTTCTGTACAATTTTGGATTGAGAGTGAGAATCCGGGAGGATTCGAAGAACCCCTCATGCGGCTGAAATTGAACAAAATCAATTTTTAAGGAAGACCTTTTTAATGCCCTTATCATACCTGACCGTTTCTTTTTCTCCTGGGGGGTCCGAGTCCAAGCCACAGGGGGGATAGGGGTACAACCCCGCTCCTAGCTACTATACATGCTCCTATAGCTACTGGACGCAGGATAGCGCTCGCACTAAGGATTTGGTTACGAGCTGATTTTAAGTTTAAGGAACTTTAACGACTTTAACTACTTACAAAACGTGACAGGAGACAGCAAAGTTGACGCTCCGGATTCGACTCAAACAGACCTGGCCTCAGCTTGTTGGACAACTTACTTTCTGGAACATGTCCTTTCCGCTTGTGATTCAGGAATCGGCCAACACATATTTCATCAATCATCAATGATTAATTGAAGAACATGTATACATATAGGTTGGAGGCCAGGCCATCGCTATTAGGTGGCCATTGCTATTAAATTAGGTTGGAAGCCATTGCTATTAATCTGCGAGTAGACCTCACCTCGCAGTTTCCAAAAACAAACGAGCACAAGCCTGCAGGAAGATGTGGTTGGAA